TGCCCGCCTGCGTTGGTCTCTAATCATCACAATATTGCTCCCGACGTACCCATTTTTGAATTTAAAACAGAAATTATACGAAGTGTGAATCAAGAACTAGAAGTAGCATGTGATCGGTTTATTTTTAAACATAATACAGTAATTTCTTTTAGTCGTAAAAAAAACACAAAACTTATTGCGTTATAATAGACTATATCCTACATTCTAAGTCGACATTTTAAGTCTCTCCTCAGCAAACATGAGCGCTATACAAGGTGTACCGATGACCTCATAAATGTAACAATCAATCAATAAAGCAAGAAGGTGCTGGATGCAGGTCGCTACTTACCAATTGGACAATATGGAAATCATTTGGGGCCTATGTTCAGCAGTGGTTGTCCTGTGGCTGAAATTATGATGATGATGATGAAATGTGGACGAGCCAAGAACGCTGAGTGCAAAGACCAGCTAATAAGTAATAATACCTATCTGACGAAAATCCAACGATGAATATTGTTTAATGAACTAAAGCAAAAACTTCGTTCGACATAAAAAAGACACGAAAAACATTTTCACACTTACATTTAACTCGATAAGTTGATTGCACTTATCTTATTATCGGAGGCTGTCACATTCCCGCTTTATCAAATCGAGGCATCGACGGCAATCAATACACGACTGTTTCGGCAGAGTGTCGACAAAAAATTTAATAAAAGTAACATCGAGTGGAGACAATATTGAAAATTGGCAACAAAGGAGTTTTTCTTTTTCCCTTTGTACGCACAGACTTGGTGTGAATACAATGTTTTTGTTCGCTGCTCACGATGCACGGAGTGAAGTCGTTGGGGCGGTCACAATTTTTAATTTATCGAATCTCTTTGTAAAGTTTCCGCTGCTATATTTTCGGAATGATTTGGTTTGAAATATTGTTAGTCGATGGCTGAAAAATTCACACAATCGCTTGACTGTTCAAGCATTAAATTAAAATTTGCGTCGCCAAATATTGAGATAAGTTGTCATCATATTTGACTTAAACATCTACAGCTCATTTTTAAAGTCTCGCTGTCGGACGAAGGTTCTTAAATAGTGTTGAATAAGTTATATGGATCAAATTCAACGAAATAACGAAATTCACCTATAAGTCACATTTATAAATGTGAAGTCTATTGCTTCACATTCTTCAGATTTGGTGGTCCTAATTAGAAACAAAAGCAAAAACCACGCAGTAAACACAATAATCATTCCCAAGAGAACACCAACGTTTAAGAAGGATCCAACCGCACTACAAAAGCGTAGGACTCCGTAAGAAGTTCGAATACCTACTCCCGGGAACTCGGTAAAAGGCTTGCGGTACCCTTTAATCGAATCTAGAGAGAAACTTCTTTGCGGAAACTTGTAAAACACGACTCAGTACAATTTCCAACACTTTTGTCCCGAGGAGGGGCGTTTATCCGCATACAAAAATGTTATTTCAAAGAAACAATTATGAATTTTCAACTAGCACACGAAGTTGGTAATACGCACAAATATCAGGCCAAGTAATTCCAAGTTCTGCAAGTTCAGTAGTTAGCTCTGTGGATTATATTAAAGAGTAGCAATAGCAAAGTCTTTCTTTAGTATCTCCTTTTTTCATTGGTCATTATTATCATTTTATTTAATTTGCCTGTTTTTTCTACTGTGTATATTTCTGTCTCTATTTAGAGAAAATGTTTCTACCTCTGACTAAGAAGACACTCTTGGAATATTAAGGAATCTTTGTCAAGCAACCTTCGTCCAGTTGTTCTGTATCCCTTTGTTTCAAGTTTATTTCCTGTTTGAAAATACAACGAATAGAAATTTATTTGAATAGGTACTTGGTTACTTGTTTTATGTTCATTCGGGTGTGACTTCTACCTGTGCTTCTACTACCATGTTTTTTTTAAAATAACATCGAAAGATCTTTAAAACATATATCAGACCAATATACCTACTTCTTTTCCTATCTCACTGACAATTTAGCATCATATTCTATAAACAGCAGATATTATAGGAAACTAAGTCTTATTGCTTGGTAATACGACCTCATCGCAAACAGCTCATCTAGCTGGCTAATGAATAATTTCTTGCCAGTTTTCTACTTTGACTGCGAAGCGTGCGGTGCTTGAACTTCGCGGTCTTTGTGTGCCGACGAGACGGGTGTTCTTGAGTGTGTTTTATTGGCATTTGTTTCCAGGATTTATTTAATAAGGCTGGCAAGAAAGATTGCGTCAGTGCCTGACAGAGTTAAGCACTAGAGCTGTGACAATTCTAAATCCTAAATTAATGAAAGCGGCTCGATAGGGGTGACATTGACATATGACGTTACAGGGCATACAAATCAGTGGGTCTAGACAAAGTGCAAATTATAATCGCAAACCAGTCGAAAAGTGGTCGAAAAGCCCTTTTTTTTGTATGGAGTTTTGACGGATTCGATTTTCGATTCGATCAAAAAGTGCGTTTTGTCAAAGGGGGCAGGACAGTCGACATCGAATGCGTTTGACGTAAACTCAAAAACGCCCAAGTCTTGCTGATGTTTTACCTCAGACACTGACAGAGTTAAGTGCTAGAACTACAGTTTGCGCTACTTTTTCTTAGAACTCGCCGTCATTATTATACTGACACGATCGATGCTGCAGGAGAACTTTATTTTTGAAAAGAAAGAGAACTGCATTCATAGATTTTCGAAATGTTTTCAAAAATTCACCATCATACCATAATATACAACTTTCTGTACGTAATTAAAATAATTTAAGATTTTATGGATTTCCTTTCATTTGATTTATCCAGTTTGTTAGAGAGATTTCATCCTTATACTTGACCCTAACGATATGTGCAATAAAAATACAGGATGTAATTTTTAACAGATTTTATTTGGTTCAATTCCCGGGTGTGGCAAGCAAATTTTTGGAAATCTTTGAATGCAGTTCTACTTCTTTTCAAAAATATAGGAATGTTTTCTTTGAAATTTTTTTTCTATCTACAATATTAAGGGTACTTTCCCTCCAGGTGGCATTACAAAATTCCACCCTGTATATTGAAACTCGTGCATTTGGGTATTTCTTTTTCGCAAATATTTGTTGTGGAAACTTTTGAATGTGTCATCAATTCTGTGAAACTTTTGGGACGTAATAAAACCTAAAATAGATCACCTCTAGAATAGCTTCAGCATTCACTGATTCTGATTTAACGCCCAAGCAGTGCTAGAAATGTTTATTATCACTTAGACTGAACAATGTGCGCGTTAGATTTGGTCTTGACCATCTGCCAAATGACTACTTGTACAGCCGCTTAGTTTCCTATTTCACGCTATACTAAGTTATAAGACCAGTCGTTTTGAGACGCAAGCCTCATTTGTCAGAAAAATAATACTAACCCTATCATCTGGATGTAATTTTTCTTACACTTTGACATTATTGGTCACTATCGAAATAAGTAAAAAGAAATAATATGGAAAAGTTTTCTATAAGTTTAGTACTTATTTAGTATTTCTTTTTTTATTTATTTATGGCTTCTGAAATCCATATAAAAAATTGCGGCCAGAATAGTATTGAATATAAAGCCTAATAAAACATTGTATGACAAAAATTTTCCTCCTATTTTATTTTTTATCTATCTGCAGCAGAACTTTTGACGTCATGTTGTACTAGCTTTGTACGTTTGATGGAAAAATTAAAAAATATCCTCGCATCCGCGGATGCCCTCCGTATTGCGGCTGCCAGCTGCATCTGACAGCGGTTAATTTTAAAGAACCCGAAGACAGAGCCACATAAATATACCCAGTCAATACCGAAATGGTTTAAAACTATCGAGCACTTACAAAAATATCGAATTACTATTCTTTTTAAAATTTCGAACGCATGAAAGATGGAAACTCAAATAGAAGTATCCAGCCAGCAGTGTCACATTTTACATGGTGATGTCACCACTTTATAACTTTTTTATTTGGCTAGTTGGCTAGTAGTGTTTTGCTAATGAAGACAGTTAGGATGCCAACGATTTTTTAAAACAATTTCAATCCCAATTACAATCTATCTAGTACTGAGCTCATTTTTAACCCCCGCTGAAAGTTACTGAATGGCAGTTAAATTGCTTTCGCGTCCCCTTTCGCCTTCTCCATAAAAATATTAAAAATATTTGTTCGTCGGTAAATCCAGGCTATTCAATTTCGGAAAGATGACACCAAAATTGGACTTTAAACGGCTTAGTCTGCGGCTTCAGATGGACAGCCAGTGCGGGCTTCACTATTTGGCCGGGTTATATCAACAATTAAAATTAATTGTACGACCCGTATCGGGGTTGCCCCACAGAATATAGTTTACAACGAGCGCTGACGGTCAGCCACAGAGCACAAAACACAATTCTATTGATATTGGCTATCGGAATTACACAAAGTAATTGAATGGATTTGTTTGTACGGCAATCGGTTGGAGTAACAATAACGGTAAAACGTTTTTACAGATTATGGTATTCCCGCTTTGACTGTCTAGTATTTTTCGAAAATTCGTTAATTCGTTAAAATGCCTATGGCTCTTTCAAATGAATCGGTACAATGTAAATGCATAATAACTCTGTGATTTTGTATTAAATCATAAATCTTTCACTATTTACAATCCAAAACTTACTGTATCACAGTCAGTCAGATTTCTCAATGATATTGTCGAGAACACAGCAAGAGGTGTATTGTTTTACACGAAGCGATAAACGGTCTTGATAAACGAAAACCAATTACAGAAAACCGTATTTCCTTACAAACAACAAAGCAAACAAAATGCACAGCACGAATATAATTCGCGCCGATAAATCGCCATCGAAACCTTACCACCATGGAGTTGCAAAACAAATCACAATTGAACCAAAATTGGTTAATAAATCTGTTTGTTGTACTTTGTAATTTCAACATAATTATTTCACAACCTTGCGTCAACGGTCGGGAACATTTTGTAATGTAATTTCGAGCGGTCTTTGAAAATTAATTTGTGCTTTATCGAGTAAATTTGTTTTAGTCACCGATACTGATTTGCCGTCCGATTGGCCCTGCGAGTGGAGTGAGGGCACTATACCGTTTGTTTTTGACTTTTTCTCAGTAAGTGAGTATTTTTAGATTTAGCGAATTAATCCAAATAAAGTTTGTTTTCTTTTAAGTTGGGATTTCAATCGCTGGGTCTTCTTTAAAAGGCATCAAATTAATATTTGTTTTTTTTTCTTCTTTAATTAGGTTAAATCTTTTTCTTATTATTTAAAGTAGGTATTATTAAGTTTTTTCTCGATACTTCATATTCATATTCATTTATTCACTTCGCAATGATACAGAAGTTCCAATCCAACAATAAAGGGTAGTAGGTACAAGATGTTCAGAATGTTACATTGCTACCTCATAGACGTATATGTGATTTGTAAACAATAAAAATATGTGATTTGTAAACACTTGCTTTAATTATGTTAGTCTTGAAGCTTAAGAAAAGAGAAATGTAAAGAGCCCCTTCTTTTTTGACGTTTATGGTAATCTATGTCAAGTGGTGAAATTAATTTGGACATTTCATTTACGTTCCAGATCCAAAAAGACTGAGGAGTCTAGTGCGAAAAGGACATGAGTTCTTGCAAAAACGGTCGTGTCTCACATTTATAGAACATAATCCAGTGTTGATGGCCCAGCAGTTGAACACTACCTACCTTTACTACACTTACTCTGGAGTCCTGGAGAGCTGTTGCTTGCATTACTACTTCAAACCTGTTGGACGAAGAGTGAGTGTTTGAACTGCCTCTATCACGGCTGAATAGTTTCAAAGTGTGTTTTGTGCATGAGTCTGTTTCATTGTAGGATAGCAACGCTTTTTCGTGGTTTTATTCTTTTTTTATGTAATTTTTAAATTAATGAGTTTGTTGACAAGTCGGTACTAGTTCTAGCGCTTAACTCAGTCAGTGCCTGAGGTATGGGAGCGGCACGGGAGGGGTGACATTGACTTATTCTGACGTGACAAGGCATACAAATTTGAAGTCTCGCTGTCGTTTGACAGTCACAAAATCAATTGTTAGGCCCAGAACAGACGGTGAAACGCAACTACAACGAAACTGCAACTTTCTGATGATTCTGCTGAATGAAACTGAAACTGAAAGTTTCAAACTGATCGCGTCATGTGTGGTCTCTCAACGGACGCTATGGCAGAAACTTAGATGCAACTCAAAAGTAACTAGCAGTTTCAGTTTTGTTGCAGTTGCGTTTCACCGTCTGTTCTGGGCCTTACTCGTAGCCTCGCAGTGGCAATTGTTTTTAGTACTGCGTACGCGTAGGTATAATAATCTAAAGTTCATACTTCTGGTTAAAATGATATATATATTTCGCTCGTGTGTTCTTGTCCCGAGCGAAACGTGTAATTCAAACATGACGTCACTGTAATTTTCATTTCGGTAAACCGTCCTCCTTAAACTTTTACGAACCACTCCTATATCAGCATCGCATACACAATGAGCTCTTTTTGTTGTTCTGAATTTGTATTCGTAGAATTTTTCAGCGTAGATCACATAACAGTATTAAGGTGAGTCCATTCTATGCAACAAACACCTCTATAAAACTAGGTTCAGACCACCGATTTTTAGTTGGCCGATAAGTAGTTGTACCCGATTTTAAATTGTATGAAAATCGGCCAAATCGAATCGGTGTAATGTGCGCACTTCCATACATGCCCATACTGATCAACTGCCCGACTAAACTATCGGCCGACGAAAAATCTATGGTCTGCGCCTAGGCTGCGCCTAAAACTTAGTTTTTATAAGTATGGCCAAAGATCTTACAAAAATCCCTATCTTAACACACCCCTTTTTAACATGCCATTAACAGTGTAACTGAGTGAAAGACAAGTGCCTCATTCACTACTTCTGAGTAAAGAGTCAAGTAGGCTACTCGTTGCATAGAGTCACAACGAGTAGCAATGAAACCATGACACTGACAAGACTGGCACTAAAATATTTCTGGACGTTCTTCTTCTTCTTATCGTGTCGACAACAAACCTACACAGTGGCAGCCCAAAACTCCGCTACAAGAGTGGCGTTGTCAGCATCATTCATTAAATCCTCCTAAGTGCAGTTGCTCGGGCAGTTCTTGATGACGGATGAATGATTTCTTTTTAAATAATTGACCTATTTTAACTTTCTAATTGCTCTTGTTTCCCTCTTGAGCTTGTCAAAGTTGAGGTCCCCTTGTTTACCCCACTCCTTTATTAGCCGCCATGCATCCCGGTCATACCGCCTGAGCGCTTTGTAGTTTAAGGAGTCTTGCAAAATTACTAGCTTTGTGCTTGTTGCAGAGAAGCAATTGGTAATTTACATTTAACCGCGTGTTCAGAAATTAATCAACAAGCAAATTTAGCAGAGTCAATACTCAGTAATTTTTATGGCAATCAATTTTTAGGGCTCCCTCTTTATAAACGGCTGCGGGGTTATATTTATTAGTATTTTTATACTTCATAAAAACATTTGTGATATTAAGAATTAAGGTGCGGAGGGACCGCGATAACATCCTAGATGTGTTGAAGAATGGGAGGGTCAATCATGTACGAAAGTATGGCACCTGTAATTTGGTGTGCAAGTCTAACTCAAACTTCATCGGTTTTTATTATAATAACCATATTTTTAAACTTGCAGATGATCCTTATAACACCCACCTGCACTCTGCCCCCTGAAGTCGCCCACGTAACCCTGCACGGCATGGGCCTGGACCACAGAAAAAGGGAACCCTTCCAAGAATCACGTGTCAGGGCAGCTCTATTCCCGACGTATTGCAGTAATATAGAAGGGAAAGTAGAGAATTTCGGTAAGCTTTAATGGTTAACTTGAATAAAGAATCAGCTTTTAAAAAGGTTTTGAAGAAAGGTTTTAGTGCCACATTCCATTTTGCCAGTTATCTTCTGAGGGTCTGTACAAAATATAAATAAACGAAATTAATTGCGACTTCGGCTTTTACAATATCGTAGTCAACGTCAGGCAAATACAGGTAATATTTCAATGCTACCTATCCGCGTATCGCGTTAAAACCTGTTTAAATTAATTTAATCATAGTCTGATTTACTGCTTGAAAAGTCTAAAAATACTCATGAACATTCTTCAAAGCCTAGTTCATGCCACAAACAAACCCTTTATAGAGAAAAACCAACCTTCCCGCGTTTAACTTCTGTTGTAACCCTTAATTGTGTTTAAAACTAAGTCATTTACGCATAAACACCGCTCAAAACTCCAAAACAGTGGAGTGAAACATCCAACACAATGAAGGCACTCGGAACCGTTTAGCCCAACAAGTTTCTACCAAATTAAATTGAATTTCAAAGCCAACCTCGTTTCAATTTCATAACAGTGGGAAACGATATTGTGTGTGGTGTATTGATCTTTATTTCTTTTTAAAGATGCTGTTTTAATACTTCTAGAAAGATGCCATGGCCAGTTTATCCTGACCTGTTCCCCCTCTTGCCAGCAAAGTACAGTTAGGTCATTTAGGGGTAATAATAGAGTTTTATAAAGGTCTTAGCGAATGGTTCAGTTATTGTCTGCTAGTATTGCGTCTGGGTCGAAGTGATCGCTTTGTTTGCACTTTATGTTCCGACATATTTCAACCGTGATGAACTAAGCTTTAAGTCAGTTCTATCGCAATTCTTTATTGTGCGGAAATAATGTTCATATTTTTTCAGTTTTTTTTTTTATTTCAATACGTATTTGAATATCTTATCTAAGATCAGATGTTTCTGAAAGTTGTTTCTTAGATGCACCTACTTTCAACTTAAAGCATATCAGCAGAGTAAATACAAATGAGTAGGTCATCTTCATAGAAACGCCCGAGCGCGGTTTGTATGTGAGCGCGCCAATACGTATGCGGCGCGCACGCACACACTGACAAAAATTAGCGTTGATTAGCGGTGAGTTGCCCCAAATTTTTGCGTATTGGCGCGCGCTCACATACAAACCGCGCTCGGTGCGTTTCTATGAAGATGACCTACTCATTTGTATTTACTCTGATATCAGTCTATTATTGATAGTTTTTAATGTGGACAAACCTTCTGTCATCTCGTACGCAAAGAACATTCCCAAAGCTACAAACTATACAATGTCGTCTAACCTTCCAAATTTATAAAAACAACGCCTCATTTTTATTGGTCTTACCAAAGTCACTTACACAATTTGTTATTCTTATCAATCCAATAATCTCAAACTATTTCCCCACAATGACGTCCACTCAATCAAGTACCTACGTGTATTCTTTCACGAAAACACAGATTAGAAAACTTTATTTTTGCTATTCAAACTAATGATAAACGTATTCTGCAAGTTATACCGACCTAACAAACGATTTAGATCGCAAAATTCAATTATGCAAAATTATTTGGAGACAAACGTTTGTTTTACCACTGCCGCCAAAATTATTTCACTGAGCAATACGTTGAACCGATAATTGTAATGAGTAATGAGTAATTTTGAACTTTTCTTATTAAAAGTATTAACTAACCTAACTTCTTATAAATTCCTTTAATCTCAGACTAATTGCGTAACAGTGTTGAAGAATGAAATATTTTATTTTACAACTAGAAAGTAATCTTAAGTATTTTAAGGAAAAAAGTACTGAATAGTAAATCAAGTAACGAAGTAATGTTATCATAAAATGTTTCGGTTAGTTGGACGAAGACGGAGAATAAAATTTTGTTGATAACGAGTCTATTCACTGCAAAAAATTGCGGTAAATTGGAAAATCACTGAGCATCACGGACTGAGAAAATTACGTTTCTCTCACCAAGCAGGTGGCCGCAAGGTATTTCACAATATTATATTGAGAGCCGCAATTCGCACCGCAAATAAAAAGCTTTCAAAAGACTCTCCCCAATAAAGTTGGGAAAAAATTAATCTCCCGCTACTTACTATTCCGCCATCTTGTCTCCAATTCAATTTCAAATAATGCTAGTAAATTGCGGCTTTTTATAGCTTATTTTGGTTGTAATGAAATAAAATGTCTGACGTTTTCTATTTGAGAAATAGTCCACAAAAGCAATATTAATTACAACCATGAAATGTCTTACGAAAAACCAAACAGTGTTAGTGGTGTTCACCAAGTCACTTCTAGCTCCAATGCAATTCAAATTGTATTACTAAAGCTTACTCTACTAAACTCCCAACATTCGATTCACTGTCGCATTCTCAAATTGCAAAGTGGCAGCCAGTGCGCCTCAAGAGGCTCACTCTGTAATTTGAGACGCTCTAAGTCTGCGCTTGCAACGAGTTTGTTCATTAGCGTCGCGATAAGCGCGAGTTGCGCTAAGTTGATTACGGTTCGGCGCGAGTTAACGCTTGACGGAACGGGTTCAATGTTTCTGTCACTCGCTTACTTGCTTTAAAGTTAGTTCCTTTGCGATAATTAGCACAATGTTCTCATGTTTTAATACTAATCAATGAGGAAACTACATATTATCTTCGTCTCGCTTTTAATTAATTACAGTTCTTAATGTTCTTAGAATCCTATTACAAAATCTTGCTATGTTTAAGGATGATTTTAATTCACTGTCGCATTCTCAAGTTGTAAAGTGGCAGCCAGTGCGCCTCAAGAGGCTCACTCTGTAATTTGAGACGCTCTAAGTCTGCGCTTGCAACGAGTTTGTTCATTAGCGTCGCGATAAGCGCGAGTTGCGCTAAGTTGATTACGGTTCGGCGCGAGTTAACGCTTGACGGAACGGGTTCAATGTTTCTGTCACTCGCTTACTTGCTTTAAAGTTAGTTCCTTTGCGATAATTAGCACAATGTTCTCATGTTTTCATACTAATCAATGAGGAAACGACATATCTTCGTCTCGCTTTTAATTAATTACAGTTCTTAATGTTCTTAGAATCCTATTACAAAATCTTGCTATGTTTAAGGATGAATTTAATTCACTGTAGCATTCTCAAGTTGTAAAGTGGCAGCCAGTGCGCCTCAAGAGGCTCACTCTGTAATTTGAGACGCTCTAAGTCTGCGCTTGCAACGAGTTTGTTCATTAGCGTCGCGATAAGCGCGAGTTGCGCTAAGTTGATTACGGTTCGGCGCGAGTTAACGCTTGACGAAACGGGTTCAATGTTTCTGTCACTCGCTTACTTGCTTTAAAGTTAGTTTTTTTGCAATAATTAGCACAATGTTCTCATATTTTTAAGCTAATCAATATTATCTTCGTCTCACTTTTAATTAATTTCAGATTTTAATGTTTTTAGAATCGTATTACAAAATCTTGCTATGTTTAAGGATGATATTTAATTCACTGTAGCATTCTCAAGTTGTAAAGTGGCAGCCAGTGCGCCTCAAGAGGCTCACTCTGTAATTTGAGACGCTCTAAGTCTGCGCTTGCAACGAGTTTGTTCATTAGCGTCGCGATAAGCGCGAGTTGCGCTAAGTTGATTACGGTTCGGCGCGAGTTAACGCTTGACGGAACGGGTTCAATGTTTCTGTCACTCGCTTACTTGCTTTAAAGTTAGTTCCTTTGCGATAATTAGCACAATGTTCTCATGTTTTCATACTAATCAATGAGGAAACGACATATCTTCGTCTCGCTTTTAATTAATTACAGTTCTTAATGTTCTTAGAATCCTATTACAAAATCTTGCTATGTTTAAGGATGATTTTAATTCACTGTCGCATTCTCAAGTTGTAAAGTGGCAGCCAGTGCGCCTCAAGAGGCTCACTCTGTAATTTGAGACGCTCTAAGTCTGCGCTTGCAACGAGTTTGTTCATTAGCGTCGCGATAAGCGCGAGTTGCGCTAAGTTGATTACGGTTCGGCGCGAGTTAACGCTTGACGGAACGGGTTCAATGTTTCTGTCACTCGCTTACTTGCTTTAAAGTTAGTTCCTTTGCGATAATTAGCACAATGTTCTCATGTTTTCATACTAATCAATGAGGAAACGACATATCTTCGTCTCGCTTTTAATTAATTACAGTTCTTAATGTTCTTAGAATCCTATTACAAAATCTTGCTATGTTTAAGGATGATTTTAATTCACTGTCGCATTCTCAAGTTGTAAAGTGGCAGCCAGTGCGCCTCAAGAGGCTCACTCTGTAATTTGAGACGCTCTAAGTCTGCGCTTGCAACGAGTTTGTTCATTAGCGTCGCGATAAGCGCGAGTTGCGCTAAGTTGATTACGGTTCGGCGCAAGTTAACGCTTGACGGAACGGGTTCAATGTTTCTGTCACTCGCTTACTTGCTTTAAAGTTAGTTCCTTTGCGATAATTAGCACAATGTTCTCATGTTTTCATACTAATCAATGAGGAAACTACATATCTTCGTCTCGCTTTTTATTAATTACAGTTCTTAATGTTCTTAGAATCCTATTACAAAATCTTGCTATGTTTAAGGATGATTTTAATTCACTGTCGCATTCTCAAGTTGTAAAGTGGCAGCCAGTGCGCCTCAAGAGGCTCACTCTGTAATTTGAGACGCTCTAAGTCTGCGCTTGCAACGAGTTTGTTCATTAGCGTCGCGATAAGCACGAGTTGCGCTAAGTTCATTACGGTTCGGCGCGAGTTAACGCTTGACGGAACGGGTTCAATGTTTCTGTCACTCGCTTACTTGCTTTAAAGTTAGTTCCTTTGCGATAATTAGCACAATGTTCTCATGTTTTCATACTAATCAATGAGGAAACGACATATCTTCGTCTCGCTTTTAATTAATTACAGTTCTTAGTGTTCTTAGAATCCTATTACAAAATCTTGCTACGTTTAAGGATGATTTTAATTCACTGTCCCATTCTCAAGTTGCAAAGTGGCAGCTACTGCGCCTCAAGAGGCTCACTCTGTAATTTGAGAGGCTCTAAGTCTGCGCTTGCAA